TATCCCTTCCTTTCATTTCTTGGCTCTCTCTTCTATCTCAAATAAATAATGTGCAGTCTGGTTAAAAACAGCATTTTCTGCCCCACACAACTTCACAGCGTGAACTTTTGGGGGAGGACTTTAGGTGATTCCTCCTTTCATGAAAATATGAGGTTCATAGAAAGCTTAAAAAAATGCCTTTGAATATTAACACTTTCTAATACATGACCATTTCCACTTCACTTACCAGATGATACCGCTACTATGATGGAAAATGCTGTGACGCCAGTGTCCACTTTTAAAATTCTTCTATATAAAATTTTGACTTTTCAACAGACATTGCTTTACACTTAAGAAAATTAGAAGCTTAAAATCCCAAGGAAAGAAAAAAAAGTTTCAAACTGATGAGATCCCCCCTACAATCTGCAGCCCCAATTATTCTGGGCCACCTCCATCACATTTAGCTTTGTGTCACACAACTTCCCCTCCATAATCTCTTCCTCCAGAAGAGATTTTTTTTTTTGCTTTATAGTCCAAAAGTTTAAGAGGCGACGCTCAGATGTGACATTTTACAGATCCTGCTGACCAGCTGCCATACCAGTTTCCAAACTATGTTCTAGATTTTTTTAACTTTAGTAACTGAATGTCAACCAGCTCAAAATAAGACCACTTAGGATCAAAAGTTAATGTGTTATGCTACAACAAATACAAATGTCCTTCAAGCAGTAAGTAGGACTGAGGGAACATTTTATGTATTATTCTAATATACAGTATTGAATTATCACACACACACACAAAAAAAAAAAAAGGCATGATGGCCTGACCAGACTGACTTCCTACCTGGCTACTTGCAATAGGTTCCTCTTGCACTGGTTCATCATATTAAAGTGTCAGTTGTTTAAAACTAGTAACTATTCATTAATGCCGTGTTTTGTGTTCTAGAAACAGCATTGCTGCACAGGAGAATTTGCTTTTTCAGACTATGAATGGCCAATTCTTCAACTGCTTGTAGTTGCCTTCCACAGTCAGCAGCATCAGAAGCTGCCTCGTGCTGGTATTATTCAGTGCAACAGTTAAATTATTAATCTTCTTCCTAGAGCATTACAGCTTTGCCACGAGTAAAGTGATCTTGTAAACAGCATCTACAAAGAGCCCTTGTCTTTGGTCTTCACATTGATTTTCCACCACTGCTATTCAAAATTTGCAAGGACTAGGAGTTTTAACACTTCTTCTGAAGCAGTCCAGTGACTTAACACTAAATAGTCGTTTCTCGAAATGTTCAGGTACACTTCAAGATATTTGCCCACATCTCCCCCCCTTTTTTTTTTTTTTTTTTTTTAAAAAAAGCTATATTATAACCTCTAGGTGGTGCTAATAGCCCTCTGTTCCATGTTGCTGATATGCCAATGGCTCAAACTATACACACACTGCTACGTTTGGCAGCTATCTTCAGGCATTGAAATTGCAGATGTAGCAGTTAGATTTAAGCCACTATATTTTAATGGGTAATTTACAGCATTTTTTATGCCATAAAAAATAATTCAATCCTCTCTTCAGTAAAGGGACTACAGCAAATATATAGCAAATGAAAACAAGCAAAACAACATACAGTAAAACAAGGCATCCATGTAATTCTCATAACTACTGTTCAGGTCCAAGTTGTAGAAAAAAATGTTTAAGAAAAGAATTAGAGGATAAAAAAGGTGAAAGCTAAACAGCAGAGACACAGGCATTAAGATAAGTCAACTAGAATGGATATTCTCAGCTCCTTTACATAAGCTGAGCTGTGGATAGTAACAGTACTTGACTGGGACTCTTGGAAGAATAAACTGTACTGCTTATCTGGAGTACTAAGTCTACATAAGGAACTTATGGAAACATCAATTCCATGCTTTAGTTATCGAGCTGTTTTTGGATCTTAGTGATGTTACAGTTGAACCGAGTATCTCTAGTTCAAATGGAAAGAGTCTCAAAGACCCAGTTACCTGCTCATTTCACACCAACTGCTGCCTGTGGCGCAGCTGGCTGAGATGGAGGGATTTCCACAGAAGATGCTTAGTGCAGTGACTCCCCAAAAGTAGTAAGTTACAGAGCAAAATTTCAATACTCCAGCAAGGGCAGATGCGTACACACCTAGAAAGAGTTTGCAGTCACAGTCTGATCTGGGTAACTATTCACAGCCTCTGTAAAGAGTATAAATTAAGACATTTTATTTGAAGTTTTCGTACTGCTGAGACACCCTGACTGACTGCACCACTTTACAGGAGGAGAAAACGCACCCGAGTACGATGATACCCACTGTGCAGACAGGGAGGTGCATCCAGATTTCATAAAGGTGCAGTCACCCCAGGCAGGCATTTTCAGGAGAACAGTTGTTGTGAATCTGTATCAAATCAGAACATGGATGTTTGTCCTCTGCTTTTCTCCCTCCCAGCTCCTGAGAAAACTTCCAAATGATTAACTTAAAATTATGATGCATCATCCTGTCCCTTCCGTCAATTAAAAAGAAAACTGATACAATATGCATAACATACACAAATTCCATAGAGTAGACAAAGAGTAAAAGGGACACAAACAAACTCAGCCCATTCCATTCAGTTTCTTACTCATGTAGCACAACAGGATCAATTTGAGGGATTAAAGCAACATTTAAAGCTGCAGTAAAGACAATTTGACCTTTGTATGCTAAAAAGGAAAACTCTTCTGATAAAATATTTAACACAGTAGAAGGAAAAAGAGTCAGCTGTTAGTTTAAGTTACTCAAACTGATTTATTGACAATTTAAATGTGACATATTTACAGCACTTATTCTAAAATAATTTAACAATTTTCATAGATTTATAAAAGTACTGATAAATAGGAGACCCTGACAATTACCAACCACAAATATTTCCCTATGCTACTAAACTACAAAAGTAGGTTGTTTTTTTTTTTCTTTTCTTTTTCCTCTTTTAAGGAGTTTATGGAGCTGCTTTACCTCCACCCAATGTGTAAAATTGCCAATACCAAAATGCAATAAAATAAACATGCAGTGTGAAAGCTGTACCAGAGCAAGTGATTTCAAAAGTTAGACTACTGTAAAAATATTCCAATGCAAAGTGTCTTCCACACAGAATGTACTTGTGAAAAAATAAGCCTTTAAAGAGCTATTGTCATGTTTTTAATAGTTACAACTTACAATGTTAGTTTAGACATTTACAGTAACTTCCAATTCTGGACTAGTTTTCACACATAGCTAAGGAGTCAAACAAAAATGGTAACTTACAAATAGCACTGCCTTTTGACAGTGGTTAGCTTATGGATAAAAAACTGAAGGTGCTGATATAATTTAAGATTTGGAAATTATATAGAATTATATAAGAAATTCATTCTTACATGACAGCAACTACTCTATCCTTGGATCAACAAGTTCTTATGGTAAAGCCATCTGTATCTCTCAAGAAGTCAGTCTCAAAGTTGGAGAGAAGATGAACTTGTATGATATGCAACTTAAATGAAATACATGTCAAAGCTGGACAATCTGAATCACAATAAGCAGCAGCATGAGATATTTCTTGGGGTTCAATTAAAGCAGACTTTTCCAAGAACTATGACAACTACACACAATTTAATCCAATGTTGAAATGTAAAGGTTCTTTTCAGTTGCATCACTGATGCCCCATAAGACACTGTACACAAACAACAAACACTCATTCTTTTTTTTCTCCAAAAACATATTGCACAGCTTGTAGATGCAATACCAGAATGCTGGTAACCCTAGGATAAGTTTTCTATTTTAAATAGCTGTTTTGAACTATGTTATTCGGAACTACTCCAACCAAAGGTTCAAAACCATGGAGAACAGTTTGTGTACATACATACCTACTCTGAAAGTGTTTCAACAACGTGAGGAGAGCAGAAAAAAAAAAAAAAAGAAGAAAACCACACACACACACAGGCACTTAAGATTATTAGTGCACCAGAAGTTATAGGCCACAATTGCAAGACTATGAACAGTTCAGTACCAACACAACAAACGAGACAAGGTCCTCCACTGACCAAATTCGGAAACAAGAACTGCTCACAAAGCACTGATAAGAAAACCAATCTCAAGACAGTAATAAAATGATATGTCTAGACATCTCATAAAAATAATTGCTGCAAAGCCTAATGTAACGCAATATAAACCCTATTTCGTTCAAAAGGTCTAAAGTGTTCAAATTCAAAAGCCCAATTCCTCTTCTCTCCCCTCCAAAACAATAATACATGCAGTCCATTTAATATCTAATGTGCAAAAAGTTATAAACCACCTTCAGGAGCGCATCAAAAATAGGTTGACTATTCAAAATATTATTTTAGTGGAAATTTTACAGCACCATATACTTAGAACTCCAAGGGAGTTCAGTACTCTTGTTCTGATAACAATTCAGTTGACACTATTGATCCTAAAGAACAGAAGAAACTCTTTTTGTGTGTGCATTTCTACAAGAAAAGCAATTCTTGGATATGCCTAAATCCTTACTGTAGTTCATAATGAAAACAACATTTCTTATCAGTAAGTTTTCTACAGTACAGCAATAACTGTAAATTTAGTTTGCCAAATTAGGGATGTAAAGTTGCTGGTACCTGACTTATTTGCAAAAGTATTTCTTTCTTTCTTCGCCTTTTTCCTTTTAAATCGTGCAGTTTGGCCCCTCCCTAGTAAGTGATTTACTATCGATCTTTGAGAAGAAGTGTAAGGTCCATTTTTGACCCTCAGATGAAAGGCAATGTACAAACATTACACACACACACATATATACATACACGTGTGTACATACACACACACATATATAAAAATCAGTGTTCTGTTTTCTTTGTTCTCTTTTCCTATAATTTTCTTTGGTTCAATGTCCGAGCAAGGAAATTAGAGGACCGAACAGATGGATCCTTCTCCAAACGCTTCCGCTCCGCTCTCCCACACTACACATCGCTAACGGGAAGGCTTGCATCATCCAGATCCACAAGGCCAGCATCCTGTTCCTGAGTGCCATTTTTACCCCGGGGTTCCGAGAAGCCCCGTTCAGTCACTTTGGAAGCTGGTTCTCCTGCAGCGACAACCTGGATCTTGTGGTTCCCTGGCTTGGCCTTGGTAAAAGAGTCGTGAAATCCTCGCTTCTCCAAGGCAGGGTGTCTGGGGTCAGCGTGTGGGACCACAGGGCTGCTGTGAGCGGCTGCGGGACGTGAGGCGGCTGCTGCTGCGCCGGCAGAACGGAGAGCATGGCTGTTGGATTCTGCAGGAGACTCGGAATGCTCCTGGAAGAGAGGGGCGTGCAACACTTTAGACCATCAGCATCACACGAGGAAGGCGTAACTTCAGATTTTGCTGAGAAAAATAAAATTCAAAGGCAGAAAATACACAAAGCAAAGTGCCAAAGTGCCAGCCACAGCAGGAGGAGGCAGGTGCTTTCCCAAGGCAGCGTATTATTAGGAGTGAGCTCACAGCAGTATGTGACAGGAAGAATTTTTCATTTGAAGAAATCAAGTTTCTCAAATCAAGCTCAGCAGCTCTTTAGACTTTCAAATATAGCCCAGCAGACTGAATCTTGATTTTACTAATGTGTTAAGTAACTTTTGAAGATATGCTCTTTAAAGTCTATTGAAAGTGACATCTTTAAGAGAAAAAGGGTATTCAAACATTTGCATACAATAAGCACTGACTTCTTAAACGCTGAAGTAATGCCTTTTACTTTTGCCTCTTCCTGGAAAACTACCTGCTTTTATTTACTCCAAAGATCAAACAAACTATTTTGAGCTATATCAAGACTATAAAACAATTTCAAAAATTAATGGACACTCAAAAGAAACTGATCTTTCAGATTCAAAACTATTCATTCCAATTGTCCAGTTAATTTCTGATAAACTTCTATTGTTGGTAATTACGCTTACTGATCTTTACTGATTTTTTTGTTAACTTGGAACTGTGGAACTCATCTTCCATCACTTTCTTATTGTAGGAATAATTTATCAGACTACCTCAGAGCGATTCAGGCATTTAAATTGCAGGCACAGACCCATATTTTGGATGTCTTAGGATATCCTCCCTGGCCTACGGCTATATCCCCAGAATACAAAAGGTCTCTTGGATCCTGCATTACATCCATCAGGTCTGTGAGGATGTCTCAAATACCCAAGGACAGGTAAAACAGCAGAAGAGCCTGCTCTTAAGTGACCTGGTCCTGGTGTCCTGACACGCTGCCCCTCCACATGCACTGAGAGCTGCGGCTGCTCCTGCCATCAGCAGTGCTGGTACATGGACTAAAGGAGTTTGGGAAGCCACGTGTGTGCACAAATCAAGTCAGTTCCCAAAAAAAGTATTAGCAAAACTACCATCACAGATGTGTCCAAGGTGCAAATACACATCGGACATGAAGTATCTTTTTCCATGGCAGTTGCCCAGGTCTCTCTTAGCATGCTGTGGCCACTATTTATAACTTTAACTATAATGGATTCTACCAATTCAGCTTACACTTCCCTTTTTGAATATTATTGGGTGAAGCAGTTAAACATCTTTACTTGGACTTCAACTTTGAGATCAGGTTCAAATTCCATAAAGTATTCTATATGATTTATAGTTCTGTATCTCATTCCTGGCTTGATACTCCACTTTCAAGAGAAAAAAAAAAGTTTAAGAGCTTATATAATACAATGATTTGCCTGCTCTTCTTATTTTTATTAATAATTTTATTTGAGCAAACAGGATAAAAGGGGAGTTTGGGCAGGTTCTCTCTAATAAACGTTTTGCTAAATCAATCAAATACTCATTTTACTACCCACACTAATTTCACAGTTAAGACACTATGCTGCTTTATTACTCTTAGGTGCACTGCTTTGAACACTGTACTGATCATACCACAATGCTTCTACATTTAGACTAATAATTTCATGCAGAGACTTAAGCCATGCAAATCAGGCTACAATATTATCCTTCCAATTACTAGATCTAGAACGTGCATTTTGGTGCGCACGCATCTGTATTAGTTTGTGGGTAGCATAATTTTGCTTTTGCACAATTTAAAAAAAAATGTAAAGCAAATGGAAATATGAACTCTCATGCAAGTAAAAGTTTTAATATTTTCCCTTTTAAATGATGCTATTGTTGAGCATAATCAATATTTAAACATGATAAATACAAATGCATGTTTTTGCCATTTTTAAATTCCAAGTATTTTAAAAGAAAGAACCAACAGTGCAAGCCTATAAATAGATGATGCAATTTATGAGTTAGTTTTCAATAATGGCAATGGCAACAGGTAGCAGTGTTTAGGTTCTTAAGAGTGCAAATTAGTCTCTAGTCCCAGCCCTCTGTTACGAGGGCAAGATTACATGAGAGCCCACATACGTGCTGCATTCACCAGTTCTTGATGTATACCTCTGTATACAAGGATTCGACAGCCTTCTGGCCTGCCGCATCTGGAACACAGTGCAAAGCTAAGATTAGAGTAACCTACACTTGGGGAAAGAAGAGAGGAGAGGGGAAAAGGAAGAAGTGATGCAGACAGTGAGAGCTAGATTGCTCAGGTAGCCCCGCCCCAGAATATATAGAAAGAAAATTTCCTGTGTGCTTTCCTACCCCCAAAAGAAACAAAATTTAGGACAGGGAGTTTTATTTAAAGCGTGGTGCAGCTTTCAGCTGCAAAATAGAATTGTGAATTTAGACCAAATTAACAGAAACACAGTATCAATGTATGTCTGTATTAAAAAGCCATATTCAAGTTATTAGATTTTGAATTATGGGGGTAGGGATATGTTCAGCTATTACATGACCTCCCATTAGCCAGGAAGTGAAAACCAGACCTTGCAGCATCTGAACTGAAAAGCCTTCCTTTTGTTAAATCTTGGAGGCTGTGGCACTAACTGACTTTCAGCACAAAATAGAGCAATTCATGAAGAGCAATAAATGCCTAATATTGTTTTAATGCAAAAATATATATGAAATGCTGGCATCTACGTGCTTCACAAATACTAAGTTCTGCCACAGTCACAGCACTTCAGTTCAGTAATGCTAGATGGTGTTCACACCGAGTTTCCAACAGCAAGAACTAACTCATGCGAGCAGGTAGCTCCTTCAGAAACAACCTACTTGAAATCTGAATCTGTATCTGTGTGTATAATATAGCATCAATAGTAGAGAATGGCAATTTAATTTAATTTTAATGACTTAAAAATAGTCAAGATGGTGTCATTTCATTATAAAATTTAGTAATTGGCAAAAATGCCTCACAAGAATTAGGTTCAGTTTTACTCCTAAAATTAGTAGCAGCTTAATGACAAAAAGATCATACTGAACTAGGAGGAATTTCTTGGTTAGCGTTTGCATTATCTACGTGGTTAAAAATATAGAGTATACATACAGATAAGATTAAGCAATCATTTAAGAACAAATAATATTCTACGCCCATCCAATCTGTAGGAAAGTCCATGCAAAGATGACAGGTACTACAGGACAGGATTGAGGACAGATGAACACAAAACCCCCTAGAATTCATGTGCACAAACAAACGTCCCCTCATGGCATTTCCTAAGGCTCAGAACAACATACAGAAGCTGCTGATCTTCCAGGTCCTCGCTGGGCTACAATGGCCCCAGAGATGGCCTTGATCCAGCTGTGCATGTCTTCCGGACTGTCCGCCTGTAAACAACATCAATTACAATATTTTATAACTTTTATTTTTTTTTTAAACAAGTATCCTGGCCATTGGCATAAAGACATGATCAAAGTCTTATCCTATGTTACTGTATCTCTTATTTAAAGCTATGAGGACTTGTATTTTTAATGCAGGCATTTCTTAAGCGCTTCCCATGCATTTTCTATTGCTTTTTATGTACTTTTATAAAATAACAATTATGTACTTCATAAAATTTAAAACACACTTATTCTGACAGAAGATTTGCTGACACCTCTTAACAAATTTTGACCAATAATGTCATTTTCTGTAGTTTTTAAAATCCAGTGTTGATGTTTGCTTCTGTGAGATGATTACTGAAGAGCTGGAATAAAATTAAGTCCATCTCAGGGAGCTAGCTGCACATTTACGATATGCAATAACAAAGATCCAGTAGATAAAAAGTGAACACCAAGGGTGTGAATATCTGAATATCTCTAATGAAGACAAAAAGCTTCATTAGAGTCAGTGGTAGGAGAGCTGCTGTAGGATAGCTCATAACTCAGCATCTGCTCTTGCTGTCTGAAATTCTTTCTTCCCTAAGAGATATGAGAAATGATGTGAGCATCACATGCCCACACACCTAAAAAGCAAACCTTTTAATCATCAGTGCTGTAACATTTAGAAGATAACTGAAAGGATGCACTGAATAAAGATGTGGGCGCATGGATATCACCAACACACTGGAACCTAGAGTA